GTTTGTTAGCGAAAAAAGTCGACAGCTGCAAACAATTAAGCCTCCATTCCTCTATCCAGGTTAAGTAGAGAATTTGCAGCTGAATTTCAGACAGCGGAACATATCGGTTTTCCTGTAATAACAGTTTTGTTAGCCGATTGTATGGAGGAACATCAGATGATAATAATAATGTGTCGAACGTAAGCATTCACAGCCGAAATGCTGAGGAAAAATGTCCACAAGAGAGTCAGAAGTCTCTTTCACAGCCAAAACAATGAGTTTCTACAGGCTTTTGTGAGCTTCTCAGTCGATTTTGATAGATTTTTATAGATTATTTCAGATAGGTTTCAAAATGCGGTTCCAAAAGGAACAGGTTCCTTTGAAAATTTTTCATTAAACATGCGCAATGATGATGATGGTAGAAACAGTAATTACGACTAATGATTTAGTTTATTAAAAGAAGATTTCTTAACTAGAGCTCTTAGATAAAATAAAATATTCTAAAATAAGAAACAAAACATGAGGATGTACCTGTTTAAAGAACAAAAGAACTGATAATAAACTAGATAAAATGTATAAATTAAAACTGATTAAATAAAATATACGCTTTATTTGAAAAAACGTTTAAAACTCTAATTTTCATTTAAAAATAAAATAAAAAACCTTTTACTGAGTCCGAAGTATTACCCGAGTAAATTTTGGTACCACCAAAAAATAATTTTAAAAAATATGTCGACCTTACAACGCCTATATAACTAACTTTCATTTCATCTTGTGACTGAATTTATATCTAAAAATGGCAAGCTTTCCCTTTTTTTAAGATCTGGTGGGATCAAATGGTTACTGAAACTGTTGCAACTGCATAAAGCGATTGACGATGCCGCATCGGTTCCGTGCTGACGCGAACCACTTTTTCAGGCTTATGAGGCGGTTCCAAAAAAACGGCAAACGGCTGCAGCTACTGCGAAGTGCGCACAACTGTTTAGGTGTTATGAGACGGTTCCAAAAAGAACGGTTAAATTGGCAAACGGCTGCAACTAGATAGATGCTCGACGGTTCGCATCGGTTCTGTGCTGTTGCGAACGGCTTTTTCGGGTTTATGAGACGGTTCCAAAAACAACCGGTTAAATCTGCTAGCTGTAACTACTGTTCCCGGTTACACGTTTGTAACAACGTTATTTTAGCGGTTACGTTAAATACCGACCATCTCTACTGTGAACCATGTGAAAGTGATCCAGATTAGGAGCCGAGCGAGCTAATCGGGCACTGCTAGGTCTAATTGAGGCCGATTATTGGCGAATTATGAGATGACCCAATTTCCACCGCGTGATTTAATAGGTTTTCTAAATTGGGTTAAGGATCACTGTTTTAATTGGAATCAAATCGAACAAAGGCATGAATTCAATGCAAATTTCCCAACAGGGGGGGGCCGTTATCATAACCCGGATAATTCAGCAATCAGAATATTCATGCGACGCCCTGAATGTAACATGTGTGGTCGATTAGAACATGATTATTGCAGCCAAATTAGCATTTCCATTCATAAATCACTAGACGTTTTTGCCCATTGGCATACTTTTCCATCCATAAATTGCCCGAAAATTTGGACGCATCCAGTTTTAAATTTCATTACACATCGTTCGTTTGTGTAGCCGTTCAACATGATTTTGAAAACGTGCCAGATCATCGCTGATTATGCGAGCGTAAATTTCACATAGTTGAATCCAGTTGAAAGTTCGGCAGTTTGGAAATGGTAAGACGCCTTTTTCTGTTCGTTTTTTCTGTTCAAAATGCGGTTTTCGTACTGTTGGGGTTCTGGGGAGCGGCACCAAAACATCACAAACCCTGACGCATTGATTGTTCGACTTTGGTTGTTTTCCAGAGGATTATTTATCTGCCCAGCGCCTCTTCGGGGCTGTCGTACCGAATGTACCCAACCGCCCCATATGTGCGGAATAAAATTTACAAACCCTTAGGGCTGTACTGCGACTACTACGAACCGATTCGGGCTTTGTATTGGAACAGCTCCTACTGGCCGCTTTACAGAACAGTCGGTTCTTTTGTCGATCAGTTGCCCAGTCGACAAGGAACCAGACTACAGAAAGTAAGTAGGGTTCGACTAAAATTCGTTTGGAAAGCCGATTGAGTTACGTTCTCGATGACGGTAATCTCAGTGTGGATTTGCCGAAATAGATTTGCTCATCCACCTGGTAAATGTTGTGGCAAAACAAAGCTACGGGATTTTATTTGAAGCTGATGCAATGCGCTTTTGGGACCGGTTTCGAGCTTTTGGGCTCTCATCAGCTTCAGCCTGAATATAACAATCTCGAACCCTGTACTTGCAGTGACGTCGTTGTTTGATTACTTGTTTATAGCGTTGTTGTCAGCTTGAGCGTTTGATCCCAATCATTTCGAAAGATTGTTTTTGGCGCTCATTTACAGCGGTTCTAAAAGCCATTTGAAATACGGTGTTTTAAGACACTTGTGGGTTGACACTTGGCCTCTTACGACTCGGCACTGTAAACAACACTTAACATTTAATTTTATTCAAGATGGCATTCGTGAAGCCACGCGCAGTTGCCATGTGGTTTCTGACCCTCTCGGCAGGGATTATTTACGTTATAAAGCCGCACGAACGAAAGTGCTCAAAATATTTGTCTATGCATCTTCTGGCATGTTTTTCAATGCGTTGGATGCATTCCTCGCGTGGTTGACTGAAAATGATGTAAAATTTAAGGAATTTTGAGAAAATTTTTATTTTTTCAAAAATCGACCC